CTCTCCCGAGTTACCTGGTAGCTATGCCTAAGGGGGGGTCCCCAACAGTTTGTTGAGAGTTAAAATAAGCTTCTGTGTTACTGCTCTGAGATATTCCATAAGGACTGGCAAAAAAGTATAAAAAATGAGGTTTACAAAGGAATGGGCAATGTCAGTGAAACAGGTATTTAACAAAGATAATTTCTACATGGAATTTAGCCTACTTGGCAGTTTCTTCTTGAAAGTGGTCATGTAAAAGAACTAATGTATCCCCTGCACGTGGATATTTATAGGACTTTTTAAAAGCATTTTTTTTTCATTTTAAATTATATCTTGTGCCTGGGAAGCCATCTCCATATTTACAAAATGGATACAGCACAGGCAACAATTCTTCCCGACTAACACTCTGGAAAAGATCACATTTGAACTAGGAGCTGAGAGGATACTTTCGTCTTCATTCCTGTGCAGTGCTTGCTCTCAACTTTCCTTCTAGTTACACTGGAGTAAATCAATTCAGTGGTGTTATTCTGGATTTACACCAGTGAAAGTGAGAACAGAATTTGACCCATGTGTGGTTTGAATAGCTCTGATAGCTTAGTTTCTCCTTCTGTGTATCCTGTTGCTATGATGTCATAACCAGTACTATGACATCACTGTATGTTGAAATGGAAATGATTGTAGTGTGTAACAAGTTGAGGATTATGGACAGAGCTTCAGATAATGTAAATCAGCATAGCTCCATTGATTCTGGCTATGTATAAACTGAGAATCTGGCCACATGACTTTACTGAAATGTTAAGGGCCCACTCCTTCAGTCCTTGTTCATGTGTGTCATCACATGAGTAAAGACTATTCACCGGATTAAGAGTGTGCAGGATCTGACCTGTGGGTGTCGTTCTTTGCAGTGCAGAGGGTGCTAATAGGAAGTGCTCCGGAGTTTCTCAGTGTTTGTCAGGATCAAGTTTTAAGGAGCCAGGAATGCGGAATTGGACCTTAAAAAGGGAGGAGGAGTGGATGGGCTGTGACAAATCACGCTGTAGTTGAATCATAAATGGCTTTGGTGAAAGATGCAGAAAGCCAATGGATTTAAGTTCTTAGTCTGAAACTTGGCAGCTTTCTGCTACATGAAAGCTTCTCTTGAAAGAAATAACCAAATGGATTTAATAAAATATGTTTTAAAAACTATATACTCACTCTGAGATATTGTATACCAAGCTTCAGCCTGGAAGGATGCCTTCCAGCCAAAATATACACTCCTTGAAAATTGGTATTTGTTAGGGGAGCACTGATGGAGCTCTAATGATGGCCAAGATATACTTAAACTCCTGATCTGATGATGGTGGTATCTGCTTGTTGACTTAGACACCAGTTTCTGCCAGTCTTGATATATGGAAACAAGCATTTAAACCATTCCCCAAATAACTTCTTTAATGCAAGGCTTGATCATGCTTTTGATGGTGAACATCATCCATTCAACTGATGGCAATGGGAGTCAAGGTTCATTCAGCACCTCTCAGGAGATTCTCGGTGCTTCACAGGATCAGTCTCATGCAGTATTTTTACTTTGTGTGGCCCTGAGAGAGGAAATAGGATGTATCATTAACAGAAGCTGGGTACACGTATGTGATCAGTAGGAACAGGATTTTAGACCAGCGCTTTGCTTTATCATTGAGATGCCTTCTTTTTCCAGACTGCTCCTGTTGTTGGAGGTTTAATCGAAACAATTGACAACGTGATGGTGCACCTGGCCTGCAATCTGGGAGGAAACCCACTCGTTGTAACCGTTGAGGGCTCATCAGCTGTAGCAGGTAGGATGGAACAGCAACATTCAGAATATGTCTACACTGCAATAAAAACCCCCACAGCACTGAATCTCAGAGCCTGGGTCAGTTGACCCTGGCATGTGGGGCTTGGGCTGCGGGGCTAAAAATTTGCAGCGTAGGTATTCGGGCTGGAACCTGGGCTCTGAGACCCACCTCTCTTGCAGGGTTTCAGAGCCCGGGCTCCTGCTCGAGCCTGAATGACTACACTGCAATGTTATAGCCCCACAGCGCAAGCCCTGAGAGCCTGTCAGCCAGGGCTTTGGAGCGGAGCCCGGAGCTGGAACACGGAGCAGCGGAGCTGCAGGTTTTTGCCTGGAGCTGGTGCGGAGCCGGAGCACAGCTCCAAAGCCCTGCTGTCAGCTGACATTGGTCAGCTGTGGCCATGCTGCAGGCCTTTGATTGTAGTATAGACCTATCTTCAGTTGCCTTCTAAACTGGCTGACTGTAATAAATACTTCTTCGCTGGCCGCTCCTAACTTGTCAGTGTGGGGAAGGAAGTTGAAATGGATTTTTTTTGTCTCTCTTTTAAACCAACAAATTGAATAAATTGCAGAAAGATGATTATACAGTTAGTTTAGACAAAGGTAATCAGCTTGGCTCAACAATCTGGTTTCCTTTTACTGTTGACTTTTTGGGGGATGGCCATTTTGGGGGCGCTGGGTGGGTTGGGGGGAGAATGTGAATGCTCCTGTATATTATTTCTGGATTTAGTTTATTGATACGTGAACAGTTAAAGTTCTGCTTAAGCCTTTTTACACAAGCCTTTGAAGCTGTAAGTGTCTGAAAGCTACAAAATTTAAATTTGGGGACAAGAGAATGGAAGGGCGGGACAAACTTTCGTCTATCTTACACCTATTGCAAGTCCTTCATGGAGTTGGCGGCTCTCTCATAATATATATATATGTACAACATCTAGCGCAGTGGGGCCCTGATCTCAGTTGACCTTTAGGTGCTACAAAGGGAGCTGGATGAATAATTGATTTTTTTTTTCAGTTTGATGGAAATTCTGAAAAAATCAGAAAAATATTCAATTCAGGTTGAACTGAATTAGAATTTTTACAGAATTTTCAGTGAATCAGAAAAGTCTATTTCATGTCTGTTCCAGAACAGGGATTTGAGTCTGGGTCTCCCACATCCTAGTGAGTGCCCAAACCACTAGGCTAAAAGTTATAAGTGAGTGGCGGTAGGGGTGATGGCAGAAACACCACCACCACCACGACCATATCCTTATCCTCAACTTCCTGCCTGTTTTGTGAACGGCCAAAGCTATTAATGTCAAATTCATAAATCGTTGGGGGTTGACGAAAGCTGCATTTTTTTCATTGAATAAACGATTTGTCCAACACATTGCCCAGCTTTAGCTACAAATAATTGATTAGTTCTGGTATTCTTCCCTATTACATTGTGAGCTACATAAGAAAAGAGAAGTCATGAATCACATGCAAATTGTCTCTTCCACCACACGGTCCTGGTCACTGACATTCTAAAATTGAGCAGTAAGATTCTAAAATAATGTCTTTAAAATGTCAGGGGGAAAAAGAGAGAGGTATCAATCAATTTTTCTTACCTCAGTGCCTCGTTAAGCTCAGTTTGTGCACACTGCCAAATGATCCATGGTATATTAACACCTCATATACTACTTTTTCCACTCATAAAGAAGTCAGAACTTCTTGAAAGCAATTTTATTCTTGATGGGAGTGGGGGATTACTCTCTTCCTCCCTACCCACAAACAGCTGGGGTTTTACAGTCAAGATTTGCAGTAGCTATTAAAAGAGCAAACTCTAGTTCTGTGGTCAACTAGGTTGTAAACGTTATTGATTTTATCATATTTTTTGTTTTGGGTTATTGTACAGATTACTCTTTGGTCAAAATGCCTCCTCAGACTTTGAATTTGTCTCACTACCGCTTCCCATCACAAGGACGGAGTTATATTTCTATCCCCAGTGAAGCTTTTCATAACAAAGGTAAGGGCAAGATTTGCAGGGAGGAGTAGAATGGTGGCAGCTAATCCTGACAATCACTCACTCCAGAAATGCTCTTGCATGGGGACAAGGGATTTTGGTTAGCTCTGCATTTTCAGTACTGTTTTAATGTTACTTCCTCTTGTTTCTAAAAACTCGAGTAATACAGCTAGGTCATATATATTACAACTATTTAATCTTGGCACTATTTTACATCAAGGCAACTTCAATTCCTGGAGCTAATGTTTTCTCTTTCTAACCACCAGAACTGGTGGTTTTCCAAGGAATTCTAATATCAAATCAACTACTTACCTCAGTAAAGTATAAACTTATTCTGCATAGCATCTTTTGTGCTAACAGTTTCCCAAAACACCTGGTGGAATTAAAGAGTAAAGTTACAGAGCTAAATAGCAGAAGAAGGAAAGAGAAAGGAATACCTATACAATAGGCATTGGAGAAAAGGCGAGAAGGCAAAATTCAACTGCAGATCTGAGTTTGGATTTTAATAACCTCAAGGTTTGGGGTTGGAAAGAAGTGAGGATCTTGTTTTGGGCCAAACACAACATGTGGCCAAATTTTTTTTAAACAAGACTGACCAAAATTAGGTTCCTACGTCCTGCCTCCAGCTGTGCAAGCAGAGCAGTGGCCCAGAACTCTTCCCTTATCCACTAGCATCCTAACTTTTTAAAGCTCATTTTGAGGCAGCAGTGTGCAAAATCTTTTCTCCCTGCCCTCTCTCCTCTTACTTCAGGGACTGAAATTTCAGGTGCTTTGTTCACCTGGGTTCAATGGGACCACTTGCCAAGCCCCTTCCCTCTGTTTGTTTCCCACTTCCTCCGTCATGGCGGAGTAGAACAAATGGAGCAAGCTGAAGGTGTGTTACAACAGGACTTAATCCAAAGCTCATTGAAGTCATTTTTCATTAATTTCTGTGGGGTTTGGATCAGGCCCTTAGCAATGAGATCGCTCAGCCGTTCCTCAGAAGGGGACCTCTGCCAGGATTGTTTCAGGGAAAAGGGCTCAGAGTCTGGGTGGCCTGTTGGGACCTTAGCAAACCTTGAACCATCTGGGATTCCTCCAGAGACTTTTCTGCAAGGGCAGGTTGGTCCTCTTCAATACAGTGTACAAAATTAGTTACTTTATATAGCACAGTAGTTACTGAAGTATTTCCGCACCACATGTGAGTTACCTGATTTATGATCACAGCTTTGTTTCCTTGCACTGGCAGGGAGCTCATGCTTGCAATTTCTCTGAGTTCTGTGAAGCTTGAATTATTGAGAGCACAACACAACTTGAAATAACAAAAATACCACATGAAAGGACCTTTTCCCCATACCACTCACAGCTTCTTCCACCATGTGGCATTTTCTTATGGGACATTATTGTGTCCAGTGGTTTGGACTGAATCCAAACTGTACGACCTTTAATTTGCATCTTCTAGGGAGTTAGAAACCATCTAAAATCTTATTAATGGCATTTTCAACTAATAGGCCACATTGCTAGGCTGTTCAAATGAGCTAGCCTTTAAAATGTATTATCCCACCTTAAGCAACTGACATTCTAAATACTTGGAACCCATCAGACCAAGACAATAAAGGACACTTGCATGGTTGACACTTGTAAAATGGGCATCTGTCTTTTCACTAAAGTGTTGGAGAAGCTGTAAATACTTCATATGCAGACAGCAAACAAATAATAGAAACAAAAACTACTCATCTGTGTTTATGAGCTTAAGATGCCAGTGAATGTTGCTAGTAGTCAAGTAGTCCTTCTGATTACTCTAAGCATCCTGGATGCTCTGGTATGTCACATGGCCACTCTTAGCTGCCTTTTGTTCTGAGGTGACTTTATAAAGGATGAATGATTAATTTAACAGTTTAACTCTACACTTTCATGGTGAGTAGATGTCAGGCTTCCTTTCATTATCCTGATATCGGTTCCAAACATTGCATAGCAGACTGCAGATTGCCTTCTAATTTCTTTATGGGAGCAACTGGAATTCCCATTAAAGTAAAGGGTGTGAAGGTTTGCAGAAGTCAGGATTCTAAATTAACATGGAGTTTCATACCTAGATGAGGAAAGCGTCTCACTCAGGGCTGTCACACTGAAGTATAATCTCTCCTGTTGATTTTGTTCACAGCTTGGGTTACCATTGTGGGCCTTTTTTACCATAACATGCACCATTTCTTCCGGAACATCAACCCTATGGACACCAAGTAAGTATCCTACGCAGGGGCATCATTCAGAAAAGGCCGGGGGTGGGGAGGAGGGCAAAGTTGTGTCAGCATGGCTCTTCTGCCCCCCTGCTGAGGCCGTCGCTGCTTGTGGGGGGTTAGTGAGTTGGTCCCATCCTGGAGGAGGGCAGGGAGGTGGTGGGGAGAAGGGTGGAGGCAGGCACAGGTCTGTGCCTCCTCTATGGCTGGCCTGAGACAGGGACTGGGACCCAGCTCGCTCTGCACTCAGCTCCAGCCCAGGCCATTGCTGCTGCTTCCTATCCAGCTGGTGGAGAGAGAGGGCGGCATAGCGAACGATACCCCTGATCTTAGAACTGTCCATGCTGTAGTAGCGTTATGATGGCCTTAGTGGCATACTAAGCACAAATGGGCACAATTATTCTTTACAACTAGTGTATCCGACATCATGGGCCTGGACACTGCTCCCCTTGGAGTTTAGCCATTGACTTTAGTCGTGGAGTAAAGCCCTTTGTTAGACACGTGTTTCCTGCTGGGGATAAAACCTTTTCTTTGGTGATTTGTCTGTCTGTTTTCTAAACTCTTCCGCTACATATTTGGCTGATCCATCAGAAATGTATATTGCAGATTCATATATTTAATCCTTGAATTAATGCCTTATATGGAATTTAAATTATGTTTCTTTTCTGCTGTCTCAAAAAAAAGGTGACATTTGTTTGTATTTAAATAATGCAGCAGTATATAACCTCTCTCCCCCAAAAGTGCTATGAATTTTAGTCCCATAAACCTGTAAACTAATTTTGCAATAATAAATCAGACAATACATCAAAAGCCTTTTTGTTTTATACACTGTGCCAATGAAATCATTAGCAGATAAGTTCAAATAAACTAGGAGCAATATACATCTCAGAAAGCCAGTTTCCTAGGGAATTTTGCAAGGCGGTGCTTGTCAGTCATTACATTTGCCTTTTAGACTGGTCATTTTTTAAATCTCTGCTGATTAGGGCAGTGATTATGTCTTTCCCATGCCAGGACTCCCTGCTACAGCAGAAGAAAGTTTCAGGACTCCAGCTTCAGTCTATTTCAGGGACTTCTTCCTATCTAGCCATATGCCAGGGAGGGGAGATTGCAATCTGCTGAAACCACTTGAACACCCCTAAATTAGGGCCACTTATGATCATGCTGAAGCAATGTTAAAATGATCACAGAAGAATTGTATGATTTCCTACTCAGTTTAATTTTATAAAAAATAACATGCACCCTTCTTGCTGCAAAAAATAAATTAAATAAATAAAGGTAGTTTACTGGAATGTGTGAAAGAATTATATCAGCAGCATGCAATATTTCTTACTGATATGAAGAAATAGAGGCAATAATTTGAGGGTTTAGCTTTTCAAGATGTATGTTCACTATAATTTATTAAGGGAAATAGACCATAATTTTAACCTCCCACAGAGAGAGAGAATTAATGTAATCTTGACTCACAGGTCAAAGATTAGCGAGGATAAAGACAGTGTGTAAATACCTTCAGCCTAAAATCACTGAGTTCCGAGGCATTTTCATGATTTCATCATCATCAGTCTTGGGCTCTGATCCTGCATAGGGATCTGACCGCAAAACAGGGCCAATTTTGCCATTTTTAAGAACATTGAGTAGTTCTGTATTCCCATGTCTCAACTCCTGCAGAGAGAGAACATGACAATCCTGGACCCATTCTTACTCCCATTGAAGCATATAGAAGATTTGCCACTGATTTCAGTGGGAGAAGGATCAGCCCTGAACGCATAATTTTTAAGGAATGCTTGGTTTAAAAGTGGCCTCTAGGTTTCTAATATTAACCTGGGCTACCTGAAATATTTGCAGTGTATCTAGTATTACAGAATCATGTCTCTGGCGTTCTAGATGGTTTGCCCGTCCAGAGGCCTGTTTTGAAACTTAATAATCCAAGGAATGCTGGCTTGGCAGTTTTCCTTTGTGGAACAAAGCATCAGATATCTGAGGAATGCTTGAAAAATAATAAGTGTGCAATTCTTTCTCCCTTGGTTTACTTTGGTGCGCTTTGCTATTGCACCTTTCTGGCTTAAGTCTCACCAAAATAATCTTTTCTAATGATGTTTTCCACAGAGTAGTTGTTTTAAAGACACCCTTTAAGGATTCTTTAGCCTCAGACTATTGGGCACCTATAATTTACAGTCTGTCTGGTTTCTTCTTCATGACAGAATTTCATTATCCTTGTGGCACATATCGACATTTTTTTGCGCTTTGTTGCCAGATGACTGTTCTATTTTCAGACCGTCTAACCAGAGCTCTCTAGAAGAGTCACTTTTTGGTTCTTTAAGAAGGGGAATCAAAACCTAAAGAAGCTTTGAGCCTGACTTTGCTCTCAGTCCTACATTGGTGCAAATCTGGAGTAACCCATGGAAGTCAGACAGGTTACAGGTCCTTCATCCTGTAACATACATTAGTATTAGACAGTGGTTCTGGGGAATGTGGCGTTATGGAGAGAAATGCCAGATTCTTATTTGTGTTTTAGTTTTTTTTCACATGTATCCAGATTCATGAGCGTACTGCTCTGGGCCTTGTATTGCAGCATTACAAAATACTGAACTGAGTTAAATGATGGGATGTAATCTGAGATGAACTAAAGCACTGGGTGTGAATATGTTTGAACACCGGGCAATTCAGCATACAAAAGTCCTGGATCCAAATATCCCCAGACTTTGGGGAAGCAAGCTCAAAATTCAGATACACATCTGGATCCAAACTTCACATTGTGAGCCCTTCTCTGAGTATAACTGTACATACTCTGAGGTGCAAATTCTGCCCTCTGTTGTATGCATGAAATTCCTACTGAGTGCAATGGGATCAGAAATAATCCCTAATGATGCTAATATCATTTAGAGGTTATAGAACAGAGTTAGATCATATGTCCTACAAATCTAGATGAGTTTCTGTCTCAGTCAACCCAGCTGTGCAATTTGATGACATCAGTTAATGTCTGAAATGAACTCTTCTTAGGGCTTGGCTACACTTGCGAGTTACAGTGCATTAAAGCAGCCCTGGGCGCCCTAGCTCACTACCCATCCACACTGGCAAGGCACGTAGAGTGCTCTGACTCCACGACTAGAGCGCTCCTGGTACTCCACCTCGGCGAGTAGAATAACATTAGTTGCGCCCCCGCTGGAGCGCCCCAATGTCTGTGTGAATGAGGTGTTGCATTACTGCGCTCTGATCAGCCTCCGGAAACGTCCCATAATCCCCTTAAGTCAAGTGGCCACTCTTGTCATTGTTTTGGATATGCCCTTTGAAAGCTCCGTTTGACAGCCGCCTGCTCATCTGCTCCAAGACAAAGCAAACCATTACTGTGGAATGCCGTGTGTGAGAGAGAGAGGCGGGGGTGAGGGGGAGGTCTGTTGCTGTCTGAACTTACAAGACAGCATGCTGACATGCTCTCAGCCCCCCCAAAACCCACTCTCTCTCCCCCCAAATACACACAACACACTCCCTGTCACACTCCACCCCACCCCCCCAATTTGAAAAGCACGTTGCAGCCACTTGCATGCTGGGATAGCTACCACAATGCACTGCTCTCTGTGGCCGTTGCAAGAGCTGCTAATGTGGCCATGCCAATGCACTGTCAGCTGTCAGTGTGGACAGACTACAGCGCTTTCCCTACTGCACTCTACGAAGGCTGGGCTAACTCAAAGCACTCTACATCTGCAAGTGTAGCCATGTCCTTAGTCAGTATGAGAAACACACCAAGAAACCACTGTGGTATAAGTTTTTAAAGAAGTGTGTTTTTCTGATGGAAGTGAGATTGTGATGTGGAGAGTGAGTTACATGGTTCTTGTGAGCAGCCAAACAGGCTAGTGTGTTTTGCTTGGTAACCCAAGCTAATGAATAGTGAGTTCACCATGCATTTTCATTTGCCATTGTAACTGTCACTCATCTGTCTGCATGATCTAATGCTAAGGAGTGAATGATGGAAGATGCTCTGCTAATGTAAACAGTGCTTGGTCTTGATCAATGGGACTCTTTTTCAAATCTATGTCAGAATTCTACTCTGACCGAGTGGATCTCAGCTCTTCCTAAATGTGTAGAGACCCAGATTTAAGATCAACCAAGAGCAGAATTTTGCCCAGCATTTTAACTGAACATTTTTAAAAAATGTTTTTGTTTTATGTATGGTCAAATTCACCAGGGCTAGAAAAAATTCTTAGCTAGCCGGCTTCCTAATCATTACATAGGAATAGAGCATCTGCTCATATAAGTATATCAAATTTTCTCTGCAGCAGAAACGTATCCTGCAGTTACTCAGATTGATCATCATGCATTTGTGTGAATCCATCCTGTAGTATAATTGTCTCTAATAATCTAAAACACTTTTAAAAAGGCTTATAAAGAGCAGCAAAAGAGATGAGCTAAGCTAAGTAGAAACAGAACAAAGGAATACCGATGGTAATATCTAGCTACTAGAACTGTTCCTGATCCTGTGAGAAGATGTTCATGGGCTGATCCTAGTGCCCATGCAAAACTTAAATGGGATGGGAGGTTCCATGGTCTGTTTACATGGACCTAATTACAGGACTGAGGTCTCGATTTTGATGAAAGGGGACTGAGATTATTGTGATTCTGGTGTCTCGTGTATATATTTGCTTATGATGTACAGGAAATATATTTACAAAACAGCAAATTATGACTGGTACAGTTTAATCTTTTAAACAGTTTCATGCAGATACGTGCATGGTCACAGTTTTGACTCTGCATCATCCATACTAGAGCTATATAATGAGGAAGGTTAATAGCTTCAGTGCATTGATCTAAGGTTAATTCTATTGTACATGTGTCGCTTACCATGAGATGATTTTATATATATATATATATAAAAATATATATATATATTATATATATATATATATATAAAAAATACAATCCAGCACATAGAGAGACCGGTGGAGGAGGTAAGTAAGTTAAATGCTGAGCTGTGTCACTCAAAAAGAAATAAACTTGACTTAAACGTGTTCTGCTCTTTGTTACACAGGGTCAGGTCGCCAGCTGTTGTAAATTGGCATAGTTTTATTGACTTTCATGGAGCTGTGCTGCTTTACATCAGCTGAGGGTCTGGCCTCCTCATTTTAAACTAAAAACCAGATTAATTCTTTGTTGTTACACTGAATTTGTAACTGTTTCAGAGGCAAGAGGCCACACTGATCCGTAGTGCAACTCCATTGATTTAACTTGAGTTAAACTAGGGATGAATTTGACCCAGCAGGTTTGCATTTTCAGCTCTTACTTTTCTTTAACAGGCAGAGACAGCATTTAATACACCACACACCAGACAGGGCTCCACCTCTGCAGCTCAGTGAGGGTCCTTCAATTTGGACCTTCAGCCTATCCATGGAACTTGGCCCTAGTACATGGCCTAACTCACTGAATTCAGAGCAGCAGGCACATATCGAAGGAGTAACTTTCTCCTGACCAAACTTAGATCAGCCCATAATAGTATGCACTGCAAATGCTAAAATGCTCTTTTACCCACTTCCTGATATTTTTTGCTCTTCCTTTCCAAGAATCGTTGAGGCTGCTGCTTATAAAGGCTACATGATCTCTGCAATGAGCTATATTATTTCCCTGAAGGTGGAGCCACCACCAACCTTGTCTCATAATCTGTCAGGATCTCCTCTTATTACCATTCGGCTCACCCATAAATTGGTAAGTGAAAATGAAATTTCCAGTTTACACTCTTACCATGACTGATTGTTCCGATCTTTTTGCATCTGTGGAGGTTTCTCTTCATTGATGATGTTGATATGGCTATGTTAGTGATGACTCAGCTGATATCTATGATTGCAAAATATGGTTTGCATTTTTCCCAACTGCCATATTTCAGGGACTGCATCTGTTTGTATAGTGCCACAAAAGACTGACTAGTGACCCCGTTGATAAGAAGGTTACGTAACAAGTATTGATTTGGATCCTTTGGGATATATTCTGTTTATGTATATATGTAACTTACAACAAGTGCCATATGCTATGAATCACTGCATACTCATTGAGAAAGGGGTATCTTTGTTTGTTAATGATCCAGTGGGTTTGTTTGTTTGTTCTTTCTTTTGCAGTGGCAATGTAGAGCAGTTTGTTCTGAAGGCAGAGGAGTTAGTGTGAAAAATGCAGTGAGCACTGACCTACTCAAGAAAGCATTGAATAATATTGTTATTAGAGAGAGGTGGAAAATGGAAAAATGTGAAAATTTCCATTTTCCTGCATTTTTCATTGAGGCTTCCTTTAAATGGACATTTTCCAGCCAGCCATAAATATAAGTTTTCCCCTCCCCCAGTTGCTCTGTTGTAGGTGCATGGGGCTAGAGAGAAAAAGTCTAAGAGCATGAATCTGAAAGTTATTTTGTTATGTGTTTCTGAACAGAAAGTTCTGAAGGATGTCCCCAGTGGCCTCTGAGAGACAGGCACTTCTGGGGTGAGGGCTCTGGCTGTTGGATTTAAAGAAATATGTCTTGCTTCATTCATTCAGATACCCTTGATACTTTAATATGACGATTCACAAACAGCCCATTAAATTGCCCTGCACTTTTTCTGTATTCCATTTGTCAGTCCTGGGGGGGCATCAAGATGCTGGTGCATGGATAGAATTGTTTCCTTTATCATTTGTTTCCTTCTCTGGTTTGACTGTTAACTCCGTTAACCCAGACTACAGAGTGTATGAATATCTAATCCAATATCTAATCGAATACACCGTTGTTTGCATGAGTCAACTCTCATGTCAGTGATTATTTCAGGCAGGAGGAACAAGCATACACATAAGACAGCGTTAGTGTACACATGTATATATTAGCAAGTAGCATTGAGGTGATAGGAGATACTTTACCAAAACCTCATTATGCACATGCATCTTTTTTGTACCTGCAGTTTTCCTGAGCATGGCACTGACCTCTATTTTAATGCTTATCTCCTATTGGCTGTACAGCTTTTTATTATAAGGATAGGTTAAACACCTTCGCACTGTGCGTCAGCTTCTGTAGCACAACATTCATTGCTGGCCATTTGGATGCTGGGAACTGCTGGAATGAAAGGAGAACTGTTGGTTTGTACTTTGTGTGTAACACTGTGTTCGGGAATCTTTGTCACACGTGGGAATGAAGTCTGAGGATTTTTAGTGTCTTGTCTGTTTGGCAAATTATAGCAGCATGTTCAACTGTTTTGAGCTACAGGCCTAAACTCCGGCATGTGTCAATTTTGGAAGTTAGAGGACAGAGGGGGTTTCTTTTTATTGATGATAGAAACATGCCTCATCTGCCATTAGATGAAATAAGGAAGAAAGTTCCATATCCAAAGGTGCTATAGTTAAAAGTTAAAGACTCTGAGAATTCAACTTTATGCCTTGATATCATGTCTGGGAGTTGCTCAAAGGCTTTCATTGCTAGATCTTAGTACCAAGAGCGATGCATGAAGAATGAAAAGGTTTCTAAAATTCATCAGTAGAGCTGGGAGAAATTCTTCGGCCAAAACTTTTTTCAGCTGAGAAATGCAGATTCAGGTCAACTGAAACATTTTGTGAATATGGCTTGTATTCACCAAATAGTTTTGATTTAAAAAAACAAACAAACTGAAAAAATCAAAATATTTAATTTTGAAAATTTTGAAATGCAGTGTTTTTGATTTTTTTTTATTCAATTCAAAGTGCATTTTAGGTTTGAGTTTTACCGTGATTTTATTTTTATTTTAAAAAACATACCCCAAAACGAAATCAAGCATTTCAAATTACTAAGCAATCATTTGTAAGCACCTAGATGTTAATAGGGTTCTAAGTAATAGCCAACATTGATTTGTCAAAAACAATTCATGCCAAACCAACCTAATTTCCTCCTTTGACAGACTTAATGGCCTAGTGGATAGGAAGAAACAAGTAGACGTGATCTATTTTGGTTTCAGTAAGGCTTTTGATACAGTGCCACATGACACTCTCATAAGCAAACTACAGAAATGTGGTCTGGATGAAATTACTATAAGGTGTGTACACAACTGGTTGAAAAAACATACTCAAAGAGTAGTTATCAATAGTTTGCTGTCAAACTGGGAGGGTGTATCTAGAGGAGTCCTGCAGGGGTCAGTCCTGGTTCCACTACTATTTAATATTTTCACTGGAGTGCATAATGGAGTGGAGAATAGAGTTATAAAATCTGTGGATGACACCAAGCTGGGAGAGGTTGCAGGCACTTTGGAGAACAGGATTAGAATTCAAAACAACCTTGACAAATTGGAGAACTGGTTTTAAATCAACAAGATGAAATTCAGTAAAGATAAGTGCAAAGTACTACACATAGGAAGGAAAAAAATCAAATGCCCAATTACAAAATGGGGAATAACTGGGTAGGTGGTAGTACTGCTGAAAAGGATTTGAGGGTTATAGTGGAACACAAATTGAATATGAGTCAACAGTGTGATGCAGTTGCAAAAAAAGCTAATGTCGTTCTGGGATGTATTAACAGGAGTGTTTGTATGTAAGACGTGGGAGGTGATGTATCCTGCTCTACATGGCACTGGTGAGGCCTCAGCTGGAGTAGTGTGTCCAATTCTGGGCCCCCCACTTTAGGAACGATGTGAACAAATTGGAGAGAGTCCAGAGGAGAGCAACAAAAATGATAAAAGGTTTAGAAAACCTGACTTATGAGGAAAGGTTAAAAAAACTGGGCATGTTCAGGGCCGGCGCAACCCATTAGGCAACCTAGGCGGTCGCCTAGGGTGCTAATATTTGGGGGGCGGCGACCGTGGTGGCTGGATCTTCGGCCGCCCCGATCGTCAGCAGCATTTTGGGGGCGGGACCTTTCGCCGCCGCCTCTGTCGGGGCCGGCATTTCGGGGGCGGGACCTTCCGCCGCCTAGGGCGGCAAAAAAGCTGGCAGCGCTCCTGGGCATGTTTAATCTTAAGAAGATTCAGTGAAGGACCTGATAACGGTCTTCAGATATGTTAAATATGTTATAAAGAGGACAGGGGTCAATTGTCCTCCATGTCCACTGAAGGTAGGACAAACAGTAATGGGCTTAATCGGTAGCAAGAGAGATTTAGGTTAGATATTAGGAAATACTTTGTAACTATAAGGGTAGTTAGTCTCTGGAACAGGCTTCCAAAGGAGGCTGTGGAATCCCCATCACTGGTGGTTTTTAAAAACCAGTTAGACAAACACCTGTCAGGGATGGTCTAGGTTTACTTGGTCCTGCCTCAGGATTCTATGATTGGACGCCAAACTAATTTTTTTCCAACTTCAATGAAAACATTGAAGCAAAAATTCGTTTTTCTGTGAACCCAAAATGATTTTATTTATTTATTTATTTATTTATTGTTCAGCCACCAAACTAAAAAATCAATTACTCACACAGGTCTAATTGTCGGTTTCATGGAGTACCCCTGGAGGCAACTAGACTGATCTCTCGCTTGTCTCTTTTTGACAAGCTTATGAACAGAGAGATTTTCAATGCATTACAGCTGGGAGAGATAAATCTGCTCCATTGGATTGTTTGGGATTGACTCTTAATAATACTATATCAAATTTACACAGTTTGCAAACAAAAAGTTGTTGGTTAGTTTTATCTGCCAGCACGGCAAATTTAACCAGGGATCAGAATGCTATTGAGTGACCCCTGAATGGCTTCTAGCGGAGCTGTGAATGGCAGGTCAGGTATTCTCATGATGCATTAGCTCTGAAGATGACTGTGGGGGAATATCAGTGTAGAAATATCAGATCCCAAAACAGTCCTTTCCCCCCACCCCTCACGACTTCTTTAGATTTGAGGCAAGTATGAAAATGTTTACATATTTGTTGTAAACTGACCCATTCCCAATCCCAGACAATCCAATGGAGCATATCTGTCTGACCCTACTGTAATGCTTTTACCTTATTCAATCCATATGTTCTAAGTTTTACAAAATGCCTTTATACCATCATTTTCAAAATCTATCTGTTCATATGGTTGTTGAAAAAAGAGAGAGAGATCAGTCCAGTTGCCTCCATGGGTTTCAGTCTTGGCTTCCAAAGAGAATTCCTTATTATAGATTCAATGAAACCCAAAGGGAGACAGGGCTGGAAAGAATATAATAGTTTGGTTTGGGTGGGGTTCAGATTTGAAGTTCTGAGTAAATTTGAACATTGGGCACAGCCCAAACTGAGAAGAGAGATTATGCCTGTCATTCCTCATTACCCCAACATCATACGTGATATTCCGAGCTCCAAAAACCGTAAAATAACAAAACCAGTTTCAAATACTCGCCCTCTGTGTGACCCTATCACTGCATATTCTGAAGTATAGCAACTACTCTCATGCCTCTTGGTTTCTTTTAAGATAGAGTATTACTTTGGCTGTCGTTCTCTTCCATATCTAACTTAGAACTGTCATGTCTAATTTGAATTAAGGTTGTCACCTATTAAGATTTGGACCTGAGTACTTTGTTCTACTGGGGAAGGTCTGTATCTTGGATCTAAATGCAGGCGAGAAAAAAGGAGAAAGGAGAAATAAGAAAATAGGGGAAGAAGAAGAGGTTAGAGGTGGAGGGAAGGGATATTACCTGTTTTTTTCACCAGTTTGGACCCTGTGTGTAAATTGACACCACTGCTATATTTGGCTCTTAACCGTTCCTGGAAATTTGGCCCTTAGACTTCCCTGGAAGTTTTACTCTCCATCATGGCAATTAAAAACACTCTGT